TTTGACATATAATTGCTTCATTTTTGCCTGTTTTACTGAACACATTTTTGATCATTTTATTGAATAGTTTCCCTGTCGAATAAAGTGCAACAAACACTGAAACTGGCTGCAGGTCACTTTGATCACATATATAAGACGTGATTCCGGCCCTGTTTTTAATTTGCCAAACAGACCGACTTTGCTTACAAATGAGAGGTTGTCTAATATTAACAAACGGATACGTTGCGAGAAAACCTGAGTCACAATCCTCGTGGCTTAACTGAGCGTAAAGATTGAAAACTGCAGTAGACAAAGGGACCAACTTAACCACATTTGTGATAAAATATTTTTACGTCATATCAGAGCGAGAATATAACCATCGTAGAAACCTTTTTTCGGTTCGTATACTGTACGATTCGAATGTTGAGTCAGAACGATCCGCAAATGGATCAAAAACGGACTTTGCACGTTGTACAAACTCTATATACAGATCATTCATCAGGGTCCCAAACCGGGGTGTAGGAAGGGTCCCTGAAGCCCTGGTGCCTGGACGTTTTGGCTATGGAGCCCGGAGCCCCATCATTTCAGGGCCTGGAGATCTGATCTTTTTTATGTACGGTGTCCGGAGCCCTGAAAGTCTTGCTGTGGAGCCTGGAGCCCAAATTAATGGAATCTAGTGAGGATAACGTGCAGCAGATAAGAAAGATGTGCATTTTGAAGCACATTCTAAACGTGATCCTTAACTTTGTTTTCTGAAGTTTGCTTGCCTCTTATTTAATTCAGTTAACGTCTTTGTTCATAAGATGAGAGTTGGCCGAAAAAATCAGTTCTGAAAAAAAATCATTTAACAGACTTCCACGTTGCACTGGATTAAAGGACTTTAAAGAGTCAGCCACATATTGCTCCCCTTGATTTGCAAATAGTCAGTTACGTGGCTGTTAATAATTAACTGAAGGCCTTCAATGGATAAAACATCTCCTAGTTGAGCCCTTTTATAGAAAATGTGTATTAATTCAACGCAAAACCCTTATTTTCTTGAAAGTCTTTTTTTTTTTTACTGTTCATCACCATATAAAGCAAGCATTTCAATATCTTGTAAGCAACTGCTGATGAAAATTAATACCTAACTTTCAATGTACTCATTTATAATATCTACAAATGTACCTTACAAGTCCCTGCGAAAATGAACTCGTATTGTCCTTCCGNCAAGCTTTTTAACTCTTTTAATTTTTAGATTATTTTTTATTATTATTATTTTTTTCCCCTCCCCTTTTTTTAGCTTTTTAAATATATTTTTTTTAATTTAATGTAAAGCGCCATGGACAAATAGTGGATTGGCGCTATACAAATACTTTATTATTATTATTATTATTATTATTATTATTATTATTATAAAACATCTCCTAGTTGAGCCCTTTTATAGAAAATGTGTATTAATTAAATGCAAAACCCTTATTTTCTTGAAAGTCTTTGTTTTGTACTGTTCATCACCATATAAAGCAAGCATCTCAATATCTTGTAAGCAACTGCTGATGAAAATTAATACCTAACTTTCAATGTACTCATTTATAATATCTACAAATGTACCTTACAAGTCCCTGCGAAAACGAACTCATATTGTCCTTCCGGATCTGGACACGACCTACCAACGCGTCACGACGAATTGGTAGCAATTTACTTTAGTGGAAATAAGTAAGCACATATGTTTCTTCTCAGCGACTTGAAAGGGTTAAAAATTCTGCCATGCTTAATTATAATTACAGAATGCTAGGGAGAATGCAATATTCGAGTTAGACGCAAAATATTATAAAAAATACCAAATGATGTTATGTTTACCTGGCGTTTAGTTCGCTGTCTGCTTCACCTGCAAGCATCAGGTATCCAGGGGTGGGGAGTTCCCATATAAAAAGGACCGTGGGAAAATTTGAGAGAAAAACTCCTACGAGGTCCCAAGATCCTGTTTTCTGGGCGTGGCTTGAAATTTTTTAATCCCTAAGCTATACCAATTCTACAACAATACATTATCTCCTGCCATATTTTTTTCGGCTATAAAATACCCTAAAAGGTACCACGAAAGCTCCCTTTGTGAACCTTTTGAGGCTGAATACCCCAGCTAAGAGACACCAAAACCGCATTTTTTTACCATTAAAAGGTACATTGAACACGCACAAGTCCCCTGCACCTTTTTTTTTTTACTATTATTATTTATTTTCCTGATTGATTGATTGATTGATTGATTGATTGATTGATTGATTTGGTTGGGGATTATTGGGGTCGGGGTGAGAGGGGATCTCAGTTCCACTGCTGTAGTCATAATTTTTACACTTTGAAAGCCCGACAGTGCAATTAACTCTGCAGGAATTTTTTTTTTCTTCACTTTTTCTTTGGAAGTCTTTTTTTCAGTCACCCTTCCTTGCATTTTATTTTTGTATTATCCCCACCCCACCCCCCGCCCCCCATCACTTTTCCAATCGTCCGTCTTTTATATTCTCTCTAGCCCTAAAGGTATTAGCGTGACGCGTGACCGGTTAGCAAATGAGATTCAAATTTTTTGCACTACCGCTGAACTGATTGACTTTTAGAAACAACGCTTTCTTGACGTCTACAGTCAGGCTAGTCTACACA